GAGGCTCAAGTGGTTAAGCTGCTGAACTGCAGGCTGTGGAAGGTCGGTAGTTCAGCAGTTCGAGACCCGAGTGTGCCGCATGACGGAGTGAGCTCCCATCTCTAGTTCCAGCTCCTGCCAACCTAGCAGTTCGAAAGCAAGAAATGGCAAGTAGATAAATAGGGACCACTTCAAACTCTAGAGTCGGATTCGACTGGCTTTCGAGCAAGGGAACCTTTACCTTTACTTTACCTACAGAAAGCCCTGACTTGGATAGCCCATGCTAGCCTGATCTCATCAGATCTCAGAAGCTAAGCAGGGTCCACCCTGGTTAGTATTTAGATGGGAGACCACCAGAGAAGTCCAGGGTCGCTATGAGGAGGGAGGCAATGGCAAACCACCTCTGTTGTGCCCTCAGAACAGTTTGGTGTAGTGGTTAAGTGTGCGGACTCTACTCTGGGAGAACCGGGTTTGATTCCCCACTCCTCCACTTGCACCTGGTTGGATGACCTTGGGCAAGTCGTAGTTCTGTCAGAGGTGTTCTTGAAAAAGAGCCATTTCTGTCAGAGCTCTCTCAGCCCCACCCACCTCACAAGGTGTCTGTTGTGGGGAGGGGAGTTTGTAAGCTGCTCTGAGACTCCTTTGGGTAGTGAAGGGTGGGGTATCTTCTCACCAGATAACCCAAAGTAGCCCAATCTCTTTGGACCGCGGAGGCTAAGCTAGGCCGGCCCTGGTTGGATGGGAGACCATCAGGGAAATGACAAAGACAGAGGCAGGGCTATTTGGGGGCAGGAACACACAGGAACGGAGTTCCGGCCGGCTCCTGAGTTGGCCACGCCCAGCAGGAGCTCATTAGCATAATAGGCCACACCCAACAGCAGGAACTCATTAGGATTGGCTACATTAGGGGTGTGTGGCCTAACATGCAAAGGAGTCCCTGCTACAAAAAAAGGCCCTGGGTTTTGACAACAAACAAGGTAAACAGAATAAGAAGCAAAAGGTGGGTGTGGCTGGATGACCACACTTCTGGTAACATGGGGGTGCGGCCTAATGGGCTAATGAGCTGTGCTGTCAGGGGTGTGGCCTAATATGCTAATGAGTTCCTGCTGGGCTTTTTCTGCAAAAAGAGCCCTGAACACAGGCAATGGCAAACCACCTCTGCCCTGGCCCAGATGATCCAGGCCGGACCAGACTCTTCGGATCTCGGAGGCTAAGCAGGTTCAGCCCTGGCCAGTATTGGGATGGGTGTCCACCAAAGAAGTCCAGGGTCGCTTCGCAGAGGCAGGCAATGGCAAACCCCCTCTGTTCGTCTCTTGCCTTGAAAACCCTACATGTCAGCTGCCTCTTTAGGGTACTTTACACACCCCTACAGAAATCTCATGCGTGTGACAAACTGAGGAATTTCAGACAGACGATATAATCCGGAAGAGGAACAGTCCCCGAACGGTTTCTGGTCTGTTATTTCAGACAGAACCATTTTAGAACCGGTTCCCTACCGGAGTATATTTGTAATTTCACACACAAATGCTACTGTCCCGTTTAGGAAACGGGGCTGAAGCATTTAACCTGTCAACCGCTTCCAAGTAGTCTTCAGTTTCCTCTCCCGGTTCCAATGCGCGACAACGCTATAACGGAACAGCAGTATATCAACCCCATTGGAATGCCTGGAGTGTTTTGTTATAGTGCTATAGCGCTATAAAGCGAACATTTTTTTTTTAAAGCCGGAGATCGCCCACGCGGGCGAAAAACGGCGAGGGAAAAGCGGTGCAGTCTGAAATAGCAAACCGCTTCAGATCCAGCTCTTTACCGGAAGGGGAAAGCCATGTGTGAAATGGCAGCCCTATACCGGTTTACTCCAGGACGGATCAAAAACAGCTTCAAAACAGATTAAAAGGGGTAATGTGAAATTCCTCACTATTTGAAGCCCCGAGATTTTTTTCTAACTACTCAAAATAAAGCAGGGAGTTGGAGCGGGATGTGCAGAGTGGCTCCTCAACACCTTCCTCGGATGAATCCCTTTTTAAAAGGCGTTGTGGATGCAATGGAGTTTTGTAGCTTTAAAATCTCATGGTGTGTGTGTGGGGGGGGGTTAGAAATGGCAAAGCAGCTGATCTGTCAGTGGGAAGGAAGCCGAGCAAATGAATTAGAGGAATTAAAACTGGACTGCAGACCTAAGTGTGCGTACTTGGCAGGAAGTGCCACTGAAATGCAGTTTGGTGAATGACCCCGTGAGGCTGTGTTTGTATATTCCACTTGCGGTCTATTAACAGGCTCCTGAAAGCAAAGGACCAGGCAGTTAGCAAAGCACCCCAAAGCAATCCTGGGGGATAAGGTCTACTAACTGCCCAACCCCCTCTGCTATTTACACGAACAGGCACGCAGGGAGCACAAAATCGCCCCAGGGAGCACAACATCGCTTTGCGCAGAGAACTGCTCTTAAAACAGCAAATAAATACAAAGCATAGAAGCAGGAGGCAGCCAGATACGTCTCTCCCTTGTCAGGGACAACTCTACCGGGTCAGTACTTGGTAGCAGCAGCAGCAGCATCTTTGCTGTTAGCTGTTTTTATTGTGCAGGAGAAGGCCATGAAATTATCAGTGTAAACACAAAGGGAAAAAGCCACACCAGCTGGAAAAACAGAGGGGAGGATTTGCAAAACTGCTGTAGAAAAGATGCCAACAGGGGGAAGGAGAAACAGCTGAGATGCAAGGAAGATTCGGATCCCCTCCACACCTGAGCTGGGAATATCTCCAATGGAATCAAGTGAAACTTGCTTCAGATAATTAGGCACACAATTATACTATACAACTAACCAACAAGCTGTGGCAAAATGCAAACACTAAGCATGGTCATAAGGAGAAAGCAATCATTCAAAGCTGCTCACAGGCAGCATTTTGTGGGAGGGGGAACCAAAGTTAACAATTTTACCCCCAGAAAGTAATCCCCCCCGCATTGACCTGTCAGTGTCTGGCCCACGGCCAGCATTCAGCAGGCACACCAGCAACCAATGTTCCCTCTAAGCTGTGGTGTTTTGTGAGCAAAAATCCTACTTTATGAGCTACTGGCATTAAGGTTGTGAGTGAGTGATTTGGCTGCTGCATAAATTAGTTTGCTCTGGAGCTGTCCCTTCCTGAGCTAAGACAAGAATGTGTGAGCCGGAGGCTAAAAAACTGTGAGCTAGCTCACGCTAACTCAGCTTAGGGGGAACACTGCCAGCAACGTGCACCAAACCTCTCAACTACCGAAGGTTTTCTTGTCAACATAAAATGGCCACAAAACTCTTTTAAGTGATAGACCACAGAGGGGTTCATTTTAAAAAAACAAAATCCTGATGAGAAAGCAATCCGCTCATTCTGAAATAACACTGGGTGCAAACTGTATTTTACAGCTCCCCTGAAGGCTTGGAATTCAGTGTTCCCTCTAAGCTGAGATGAGTGTGAGCTAGCTCACAGTTTTCTTAGCCTCCGGCTCACATGTTTTTTGTCTCTGCTCAGGAAGGAGGGCTCCAGAGCAAACTAATTGATGCAGGAGCCAAATTGCTCGCTCAGAACTTTAATGCCGGGAGCTCACCAAGTAGACTTTTTGCTCACAAGACTCCTCAGCTTAGAGGGAGCATTGGATGGGATCCATCATCAGGATAATTCAGCATGTAAGCAGAGGGAAACTGTACACAGCAGCAAGCAGTGTTGGCAGTTCAAGGAGCGTTCCACTTCGAGGAGAGCAGGCAGCTTCTTCCCACCTGAAACACCCTGTCTCCTAGCCCTTGTGCAGGCAGGCTACAGTAACTCAGTTGTGAAGACCGGCACTCTACCCATGTGGTCTGTCCACTTAACATTTCTATTCCCCATCTCTTCCAATGCAGAGGTGCTCTCCGCCTCCCCTGCTATGCGGAAATCCATACAACAGCCCTGCCAAGCAGGTCAGCTGAACAACTGGTCCAAGGCAGCAGGGGGGGATTTAAACCGGGACCTCCCCGGTCTTCGTCCAGCATAGTCAGCCGGGGGTCATGCTAACACGGAGGAGAGAGATTGGAAAGCAGCCCAGGACAAAAACTTAGCAGCCCCCCCCCCCAAATCCAAAACATAAACCCTCCCAACTGGGAAGTCCGGTCCTCTCCTCAGCGCCAAGTGCCGGGACTGCAACATGTCCTCCAGCCGGGGATATGACGCTGAAGTCCTGGCCAACGCTCCCTCTAAGCTGTGGAGTCCTGAGAGCAAAAATTCTACTTGGTGAGCTCCTGGCATTAAAGTTCTGAGCGAGAGATTTGGCCACTGCGTAAATCAGTTTGCTCTGGAGCCCTCCTTCCTGAGCTAAGGCAAAAATGTGTGAGCCGGAGGCTAAGCAACTGTGAGCTAGCTCACACTAACTCAGCTTAGAGGGAACACTGCCAATGCTCCCTCTAAACTGTGGAGTCTTGTGAGCAAAAACTCTTCTTGGTGAGCCGCTGGCATTAAAGTGGTGAGCGAGGGATTTGACTGCTGCATAAATCAGTTTGCTCTGGAGCCCCATCCTTCCTGAGCGGAGACAAAAATCTGTGAGCCAGAGGCTAAGCAACTGTGAGCTAGCTCACACTCACTCAGCTTAGAGGGAACACTGGTCCCGGCCTCATTCAACAGAAGAGCCAGAAGAGCTCTTTGCACCTGCGAAGCCATCCCCGCCCCTTCCCCACCTGCTCCAGAGGGGCCGATCGACGGGAAGCCTCAGCCCCTCTCGGCCTGGGGGCCTCCGGGCTCCGTCCAAACCAGTGTTCCCTCTAAGCTGAGTGAGTGTGAGCTAGCTCACAGTTTTTTTAGCCTCCGGCTCACAATTTTTTGTCTTTGCTCAGGCAGGATGGACTCCAAAGCAGAGTAACTTATGCAGGAGCCAAATCGTTTTGCTCACAACTTTGATGCCAGTGGCTCACAGAGTAGAATTTTTGCTCACAAGACTCCACAGCTTAGAGGGAACATTGGAAACCCTAGATCCTCTCTGCGGGGAGCTTCCCAACCGGGAGAAGTTTCGGCCTCCGCTGGCCTCCCTAGTCCCAACGGCAGCTCCAGTTCCCCGGCCTGGGGGAGAACGCGCGTGGCGGCGCACTCTGCACATGCTCCGGAGCGCCTCCGCCCGGCGGCGTGGAGGGTGGGGAAAGCGAGACAGCCTCGCGACCCCGGACGAAACTTCCCCGAGGTCCGCCGCGCGACCCCACGAGCGGGGGGGGGGTGCTGCTGGCTCATGCAGTAGTACGACTCGTAGAGCCGGTCGCGGCGGCCCCGGCGGCCCCCCTGCGCCTCCCGCCGCCTCCGCCGGCACAGGCACAGGGGGCCCCGCTCGGCCTCCGCCTTGGCCCCCTCCTCGCCCTCGGCGCCGCGCTCCAGGAAGTAGCGGTGCCGCCGCATGGCTGCCTGCCCGGCGGGCGAGGGACTCCTCAGCGAGACCCTCCGGCCCCGCCGACGCCGCCGGACGCCCCGAGCAGCAGCAGCAGCAGCCCCGGCATGGCGGGCAGTGCGCGACTGGAGGAGGAGGAGGAGGAGGAGGCGGGCGGGCAGCGGCGACCTGCGAGGGACGCGCCAAGCACCTCCCCGCGAGGACGCGCCGCGCCCACCGCCCCGCAGGAGCAGGCTAGGCAGGCGGGCGGAGGAGGACCCGGCAGCAGCGCCCTCTCCGTCGAGCCTGCCCGCTGCGCGCCTCTCCAAGTTCCCTCCCGGCGCTGCGCAGCGAGGCTCCCTTGGCGCGCGGTCCCCCAAGCCGGAGGGGATTCGGAGGCTCCCGGGGAGCGCCCCGACGAGTGAGTGTGAGCCGGCTCACAGCCTTTTAGCCTCCGGCTCACCCATTTCTGTCTCCGCCCAGGAAGGATGGGGCTCCAGAGCCAACTGATTTATGCAGCAGCCCAATCTCTCGCTCACCACTTTAATGCCAAGTGGAGTTTTTACTCACTCCACACAGCTTCGAGGCAGTGTTCCCCCTAAGCTGAGTGAGTGTGAGCCAGCTCACTGTTTTTCAGCCGCCGGCTCACCCATTTCTGTCTCCGCCCAGGAAGGATGGGGCTCCAGAGCCAACTGATTTATGCAGCAGCCCAATCTCTCGCTCACCACTTTAATGCCAAGTGGAGTTTTTACTCACTCCACACAGCTTCGAGGCAGTGTTCCCCCTAAGCTGAGTGAGTGTGAGCCAGCTCACCGTTTTTTAGCCCCCGGCTCACCCATTTCTGTCTCCGCCCAGGAAGGATGGGGCTCCAGAGCCAACTGATTTATGCAGCAGCCCAATCTCTCGCTCACCACTTTAATGCCAAGTGGAGTTTTTACTCACTCCACACAGCTTCGAGGCAGTGTTCCCCCTAAGCTGAGTGAGTGTGAGCCAGCTCACTGTTTTTTAGCCTCCGGCTCACCCATTTCTGTCTCCGCCCAGGAAGGATGGGGCTCCAGAGCAAACTAATTTCTGCAGCAGCCAAATGGCTGGCTCACCACTTTAATGCCAGGAGCTCACACAGCAGGGTTTTTGCTCACATGACTCCACGGCTTAGAGGGAACGTTGCTTGTGAGCCGCCTCGGGAGCCGGAGGGGCGCCCCCGCACGGCGATGCGCTTCTCGAATAGGCACGTCCCAGCGATGTCGGCACAGCTGGGGGGGGGGAAGCACGGCGGCACGCTGACTCGAAAGTAAACCCGTATGGGAGGCTGAGTGAGTGTGAGCCAGCTCACCGTTTTTTAGCCCCCGGCTCACCCATTTCTGTCTCCGCCCAGGAAGGATGGGGCTCCAGAGCAAACTAATTTCTGCAGCAGCCAAATGGCTGGCTCACCACTTTAATGCCAGGAGCTCACACAGCAGGGTTTTTGCTCACATGACTCCACGGCTTAGAGGGAACGTTGCTTGTGAGCCGCCTCGGGAGCCGGAGGGGCGCCCCCGCACGGCGATGCGCTTCTCGAATAGGCACGTCCCAGCGATGTCGGCACAGCTGGGGGGGGGGAAGCACGGCGGCACGCTGACTCGAAAGTAAACCCGTATGGGAGGGGGTGAGTGCCTTCTGCTCTTCGCAGCAGAGCAGGCGTCCGGGAGCGCCGTGAAGGCGAGCCACATTTTTTGGGGGGGGAGGGGGATGAGCCGTCGTGAGCAGCGTTCCCTGTAAGCTGAGCTCGTGTGAGCTAGCTCACAGCTTTTTAGCCTCCAGCTCACACATTTTTGTCTTCTTCAGGGAAGATGGCTCCGGAGCAGACTGATTTATGCAGAAGCCAAACCGCTCTCACTCACAACCAATGTTCCCTCTAAGCTGTGGAGTGAGCAAGAATTCTACTTTGTGAGCTACTGGCACTAAAGCTGTGAGCAAGTGATTTGGCTGCTGCATCAATTAGTCTGCTCTGGAGCCCTCCTTCCTGAGCGGAGACCGAAATGGGTGAGCCGGAGGCTAAAAACCTGTGAGCTAGCTCACACTCACTCAGCTTAGAGGGAACACTGCTCTGGAGCCCTCCTTCCTGAGCTGAGACCGAAATGGGTGAGCCGGAGGCTAAAAACCTGTGAGCTAGCTCACACTCACTCAGCTTAGAGGGAACACTGCTCTGGAGCCCTCCTTCCTGAGCTGAGACCGAAATGGGTGAGCCGGAGGCTAAAAACCTGTGAGCTAGCTCACACTCACTCAGCTTAGAGGGAACACTGCTCTGGAGCCCTCCTTCCTGAGCGGAGACAGAAATGGGTGAGCCGGAGGCTGAAAAACTGTGAGCTAGCTCACACTCACTCAGCTTAGAGGGAACACTGCTCACCACTTAAATGCCGGTAGCTCTCAAAGCAGAATTTTTGCTCACAAGTCACTCCACAGCTTAGAGGGAGCATGGGTCGTGAGCCAGGCGGTGACACAGGGAAGCTCCTGCCCTGCCCCAAATGTGGTTAGTCTTCAAGGCGCAGCTGGACTCTTGCTCTGTTCCGCAGCTGCAAACAGACTAACGCGGCCGCCCGTCTGGATGTATCCGGAGGTGCGTTCACAGGCAGCGGCACCTGACGCCCCGGGATCATCCCTCCCAGTCCCAGCCAAAGCGACGTCGCGTTCCCTTCAGTGGCGCTTGACGCCAAGCGAAGCCTGCGCCGCCCGAGATTGGAAGCCGGTGCGCCCGGCTGGCTCCGAAGCGACTCCCTCCCGGGACTTCAGCCAGCAGGCGGGCTTCCTGCGGCTGGCCGGGCGCTTTAGCCAGCAGTGCGCGCTCCGCTGCCGTTGGAGCCTAGGCTAGCTGCACAACAGCCAAGCGAGGCTTAGCCCCAGAATTAAACGTTGCAGGCACACAGAATTAAACTATGGCCCCGTCACATGGTGAAGTTGCTGCAGGAGAGGCACAGATGGTGGGCGGATTATCCAAAGGCCATCACACCCAGTGTTCCCTCTAAGCTGAGTTCGTGTGAGCTAGCTCACAGGTTTTTAGCCTCTGGCTCACACGTTTCAGGAAGGGTGGCTCCAGAGCAAACTGATTTATGCAGGAGCCAAATCTCTCGCTCACAACTTTAATGCCAGTGGCTCATGAAGTAGAATTTTTCTCACAAGACTTCACAGCTTAGAGGGAACATTGATCACACCCCAACATCTGGGAAGTGGAGCGCACCCGTGGCTTACTGCGGACAATGCCAGTTAAAAAACGAGTACCTCCAAGATATTCCAGATGCCCCGTGGTGTGATCGCGCCGGTGTGCGGCATTCCCCTCCGGTCCCTCGTTTAGCCGCCGGCGCCGAGGGAAGGACTGGTGGTGTGCCACCGGCGCATCTGATTGCGTAATCGTGGATCAAACTGCACCGGGGCAATTAGCCACGCCTCCCCCCGCGCGCGATATCCGGCCCATGTGACCGGGGCCTTTGTTGGTCTTCAAGGTGCCACCGCCGGACTGCTGCTTCAGATCAACATTGCAATCCACTTGAATCTATTCCTAGGCAGTGTTCCCTCTAAGCTGAGTGAGCATGAGCCAGCTCACAGTTTTGTAGCCTCCGGCTCATACATTTTTGCCTTCGTTCAGGAAGGAGGGCTCCAGAGCAAACTGATTTATGCAGCAGCCAAATCGCTGGCTCACATCTTTAATGCCAGTAGCTCACAAAGTAGAATTTTTGCTCACAAGACTCCGCAGCTTAGAGGGAGCATTGAATCCTAGGTTATCTAAGTGTAACTCTGTGGGTTTGGTCCTCTATTGGAGTTTGGAGGGGGGAGGTATTTTGTCCCAGAGTGGGAGCCTGAATTTGATGAGGTGGTGTGAAAAAAATTTCAGGGCCCCTTCCCTGCCCCATTAGCCATCGGTTTTTTAAAATCCAAAATGGTTTATTTATTTTATTTTATTTATTTACCTTCAACTTCTACCCCACTCGAACCCCTCCCATGGGTCTCTGAGTGGCTTACATAGTTTGTATTTAACGCATGAGGGCAAAAATAGGCTTTGTATTTACTTTAAAATGAGCTTTCCTTGCCTTTTTTTGTGAAAAATTTCCAGTGACAGCATCAAAATTAATTGTTCTGGCAACATTTGATTCAATACCCAGCCTGGCCAAATCCATGAAACATTCTTGAGAGATTGTAAACCTTAATCAGCTTGAGTTTGCTAAATGATCTCTCTGCAGAAGTTACTGTTGCTGGAATTGTTAAAAGAATTCATAAGCTGACACAAACATTTCAAAACAGATCAGCAAGTCTGTATCCTCAGGAAAGCTCCTCCATTAGCATGTCACAGCCTGGGGAACTCCTACAATATAATGACTCAGCCTTACCCCTCCTTCCTGAGTAGATATAAATTACCTGCCTATCATTTATCTTCTCACCTTGACCCAGAGAGTACTCCATCTTTCTGTGTTATACTTCTGAGGATGCCAGTCACAGCTGCTGGTGAAACGTCAGGTCCTACAATGCCCATACAGCCTGGAAAATCTACAACAACTAAAGTCTGTATTCTGTTAATATGTTCAACAGATCCAATGGTTTTAACTGTGCATTTCCAACATCTGCCTTATGTATTGAAGGTAAATGCTGCATTCCTTTAAAAAAATCCTCATCTTTTTTTTTAATAACATTTTTAATCCAAATTTTCATGTCTAACCATCAATTAACAGTATGAAATACAACCAAATACACTTAAGTAGTGTAAAGGTAAAGGTTCCCTTGCTCGAAAGCCAGTCGAATCCGACTCTAGGGTTGCGGTGCTCATCTCTGTTTCAAAGCTGAAGAGCCAGCGCTGTCCGAAGATGTTTCCATGGTCATGTGGCCGGCGTGACTAAACACCAAGGTGCACGGAACGCTGTTACCTTCCCACTGAAGTGGTACCTATTTATCTACTTGCAATTTCTTGCTTTCGAACTGCTAGGTTGGCAGGAGCTGGAACTAGAGACGGGAACTCACTCCGTCATGCGGCACCCGGGTCTCGAACTGCTGAACTACCGACCTTCCACAGCCTGCAGTTCAGCGTCTTAACCACTTGAGCCACCGCAGCTCAACATACAAATTGTATACTCAGTGCACGTACAGCGGTGGGGGATTCCCCTAAATTCAGTATACATTTAACCTAGTATGTTTTAATTCCAATTATGCAGGAATAGTCTTTAGAGTGAGGCAGATTTCATAACCATTTCTAGTATTGAGACCAACATGTGGGTATAACTTCTTCTCTTGTAAGAAAATCTAGTATGGGTTCCCATTTTTCCATGAATTTATTAGAAATTGGCTGTAATGAACCATTGTTCAGTTTGCAAGTGACACATTCCATCAAGAATTGATCCCATAATTTTCTGTACCAGATTTGAGTTCCAGGAGGGTGGTACCAGATTTGAGTCCCAGGAGGGTG